ATGGATCAAGGACCCTCTAAAAGGATGCAAAAGACCAGCTGTCTGCAAAGAATACAAATCCTTCCATTCCCCACCATCCAGTCAGAGCTGAAAAAACTTCCTGGATGAGAAGCAAAACGTCTTCAAAAGAAAAAAGCAAGAAAGTCCAGTTGCCTCCTGAAAAAAGTACCCTTGGGGCAGTCAAGAAATAGATATACAGGTAGTCCTCAACTTACAACAGTTTGTTTAGTGACCGTTCGAAGTGACAAAGGCACTGGAAAAAGTGACTTGTGACTGTTGCAAGCATCCCCGTGGGCGCACGGATCAAAATTCAGATACTTGGCAACTGACTTGTATTTACGACGGTTGCAGTGTCATGTGATCGCCTCCTATGACCTTCGGACAAGCATCGTCAATGGGGAAGCCGGATTCACTTCGCAAACCGCGTTACTAACTGAACAACTGCGCTGATTCACTTAACAGGTGCAGCAAGAAAGGCCGTAAAATGGGGCAAAACTTGCTTAACAACTGTCTCCCTTAGCGACAGAAACTGTGGGCTGAATGGCGGTCATTAAGTCAAGGACTCAAATTATCCTAGCTTGGACACACAACAAGAAGACCCAGCTGTCTAGAGAAAGCTCTGATGCTAGGAAATAGGACAAGCAGCGGCAAAGTGGATGGACTTAAGTTTGGGGAAGCAATGGATCTACCATGGGAAAGATCTGAAGGACCACGACTGGAGACACAGGATGCTCCCTTCAGAGTCCATGATGCTCAGAAAGATGGAAGAGAAGAGTATGACCAGTAACATGATGGATAGGTTTAACTACAATAGTGAAGGGTTCATCCTCAGGAGACATGAAGGGACAGCTTGGAGCCAACTTATCCTGGGGGGAAAAAAATCTATCAATATGGTTACTAAGAGCTGACCCTGTCTTGATAGCACATGATCAATCATTCAGAAGTGGAGTAATAAGGACCAACATCACAAGGGATCCCTTGATTTAGAATTACAAAAGGATCTCGATCTCTCTCTCCCTCCCTCCCTCACACCCCCCCCCGCCCGATGGTCGGTGAGCTTCTTGGCTGAAATTAAAGGCTGTTTAACACAGTTAATGTAAAACTTAACATTTAACTAACTCAAAAGAGATTTGCATGGCATGCCCAGTCTAAGAAAGACTGTCGAGGCTCAACCGTGGTTGTCACGCTTATGGGGAAAGGGTAAGACTGCAGCACTTATGGTGCTGGTGACAGCTCACAGCTGAGCTCTGCAAGAGTTGCCAGCTCTCCCTTTCGACGAAAATGGCAAACCTGCCCAGCCCAGAGAGCGATGGGAACTGGTGAGTTTAACAGCCTCACCCAAAGCTCAAGGCAAAGTCTCCTACTCAAAACAGGGCAAGGCCTTCCAGTTTGAGCTGGTTTTTTTAATCAGAGGGAGTGTTGGGGAAAGAAACGATCACGGCGGAGGGGGCTCTTGCAGCCTCTGCTTTCATTCTATGGGGAATTGGGGTGAGCTGGGGGAGAGGGGGGAAGGGATATGTTTGCATTTTAAGACGCTGTTCACCGCCCCGACTCCTTCAGTCAAAATAAACCCGGTCTCTCGAGCAAGAGACCGCTAGCAAAAAGCTCCAGCATAGCCTCATGTAACAATCTCAGCATATAAGAAGGTCACATCAAGGGAGGAGGGAAGGGGAAAAAAAACCCACAGGAAATATATGCAGAATCAAAAATAGCCATAATATAACTCGGATGGGGTAAGTGGTAAAGGAAAGAGAAGTATCAGGGTCATCAGCGAAGGGAGGGAGAGGAAATAAACTGACTCCTATTAAGAGTTGTTTGTAAGGTGGTTTTAATGCAGGAAGCATTTCAATTAGCCCATCATGCAGCGCCATCTACAGCTGTTTTTAGGGAAGTGCAGCTTCTTGACAAGAGGCACAGCCTTGTTCAGAAGGACAGAGCTACGGTCTACCACTAACATCAGTCCTCGACTTACGACTGCAATTGAACCCAGAATTATGGCTGTAAATCGTAGCAGTTGTTAAGCGGGTGAGGAGGCCACGCCCAGTTTTATAGCCTTTCTTGTAATGGTTGTTAAGTGAACACGGCAGCCATTATACAAACATGGCAGTTGTTAAATGAACGTCGCAGTCATTAAAGACAACCCATTTGTATCTGATGAGCTTTTTTTTTTTTTTTTGGGCCGAAAACTACAAGTAAATGCTGGCTTCTGGCAAAAAATAAAATAAAATAAAATTAAATTAAAAAAAATTTTTAAAGCATAAATCATGGTCACATGACTGGGGAAACACTGCAAATGGCCATAAATGCAGGCTGGTTGCCAAGTGGCCAAAATGTAAACATGTAAACGGGGGGGGGGGGGGGGGGGGGAGCGCAGGGGAAATGGGAACTTCAAAGCCAGTTCAATAAGTACAGGTAGTCCTCGACTTATGAGCACAATTGAGCCCAGAATTTTGGTTGCTTAAGTGAGAAATTTGTTAAGTGAGTTTTGACCCATTTCACGACTTTTCTTGCCGCATTTTTTAAGTGAATCACTGCAGTTGTTACAGTAGTCACACGCTTGTAAAGTGAACCTGGCTGCCCCACTGACTTTGTTTGTCAGACGGTCACAAAAGGGGATCACATTTATTAATTCAATTTATTTATTTATTTATTTATTTATTTATTTATTTATTTATTTATTCATTCATTCATTCATTCATTCATTCATTCATTCATTCATTCATTCATTCATTCAATTTGTATGCCGCCCCTCTCCGAAGACTCAGGGCCGAAGACTCATGACCTCAGGACACTGCAACTGTCATAAATATGAATCAGTTGTCAAGCATCCAAATGTAAATCATGTGACCATGGGGATGCTGCAACGGTCATAAGTGTGAAAAATGGCCATAAGTCATTTTTTTCCAGCACCACTGTAACTCAGAATGGTCACTAAATGAACTGTTGTAAATCAAGGACTACCTGAGCTTGGGGGAGATCCGTTGTAACGTCTAATGGGTGCCAAGCAACCGGTTATAAGTCGAGGGCTACCTGTATGTTTATGTTTGCTTCCTAGGAATCTCTGCAAATCCTTCCGAGGTAGGTAAAATGAGGACCCAGACTGTTGGGGGCAAGATGCTGACTCTGTAAACCGCTCAGAGAGGGGCTGTAAAAGTTCTGTAAAGCGGTATATAAGTCTAAGCGCTATTGCTATTGCTGTTTTCCATCAGACAAATATACCTCTATTCAGGGGTGAAATGCTCCCGGTTCGGACTGGATCACCTGATCCGGTAGCGATGGAGGCGGGTGGTTTGGAGAACCGGTAGCAAAAATCCCTGCCCCCCCCCCAATCCCCAGCTGAGCCACACAATCATCAGAGGCTTTTTTTTTTACTTTTAAAAGCATTTTTTCTACAACCTCTTCGGCCGAAAAAATATTTTTAAAAGTAAAAAAAAAAAAGCCTCTGATGATCGCATGGCTCAGCTGGGATTGTCAAAGGCTTTTAAAAGAAAAAAACCCTTTTTTTCTTTTAAATGCCTCTGATGATCCAAGCTGAGTTGCCTGATCGGCAGAGACTTTTTTTTCTTTTAAATGCCTCTGAAGATCAGGCAACTCAGCTGGGATCATCAGAGCCTTTTGAAAGCATTTTTTTACAATCTCTTCGCTGAAGAGGTTGTAGAAAAAATGGTTTTAAGAGTTAAAAAAAAAAAATTGGCCACCCCCACACATTACCCCACCACCACCAAGCCACGCCCACAGAACCAGTAGTAACAAATTTTAGATTTCACCACTGCCTCTATTACAATGGGAAGTAAATGCTGGCTTTCTGGCGAAAATGTCGTAAATTGGGATTACATGACCTCAGGAGCTGCAAACGGCCACAAACGTGGCTGGTTGCAGAGCGCTCAAAATGTGATCACATGACTGTGGGGTGGGGTGGGAGTCGGGGAAGCTACTGAAACTTTGGTACCGAGTGGCAGGTAGCTTTGGGAAGTCGTCGTGACTTCAAATGGTCACTAAGCGACCTGCTGTAAATCAAGGACTACCTTATCTGTCCCTGACAAAGGGAAACCTTCGGCCTCAGTTCTTGGAGGCTGAAGAGAAGCACATTCTGCCCTGCTAGCCAAAATGAAAGGCTGGCCTGCCTGTTTGACGGTGATGCTAACGTTTCTACATCGTTATCTGTTCTTCCTCAGCCTCCTTGCAAATTGATTGACTTATGGCCGGAAAGCAAACACTGACATAAATCTGCTAACAGAGTAACAACAACCTGTGATCAGGCAGGAGCCTGTAAGAGAGACAGTAGCAATGAATAGACCTTACTTGCTTCTCCACCTAACTTATTTTTTTTCCATGGTCCCATAATATGTTTATTATGCAACTCATCTGCTGCAATACTATACGTCTCCAGACACCTTAAAAACTACTTAAAAGGATTAAGCACCGAAAAACAAAATGAAGAGGTAAAATACAAAAGTTTATTAACCTAAATACATTAATAAAGTTTATTAACAGCCTAAATATAGTCTTGTATTCTTGTATGGACTGCACCAGTAGAGGCTAAACCATTTTCGTTGTATACATGATGTACAATGATAATAAAGGCTTTGACTTTGACTTTAAATCCATTAATAAAGTTTATTAACAGCCTATTGTGACATTTGGATATTTTTTCCCCCCGAATTTAATTATTTTCAATGTTCTTTTACTGGTAAGGGGGAACAGAAGGGAATCGCTGAACTAATAGGAAGGCAACAGCTACCATCCCTGACACTGCTGGTATCCCAGTCTGGCCTCAAGCTGGATCTCCCAAGGTATTTTAAAATACCACCAGCTTTACTCATTGAGGCTGATGGATGGAGTAGCTGAAACTCACACCGTGACTAAGTTGGGAATGATCTGATGAACTGGCCTCTTTCTACCAATGCCCTTTGGACACAGAAAGCGAGAACAGGGACTTATAGATTATGAGGGCAGAGGGAGTTTCTCCATAAAAATATATGATTTTATGAAGCACTTACCTCTAAGCAAATCCGAAAGCGGAGGGCCACAATCCTCAGGGATTACGTAGTCTCCTTTTCCAATGTTTTCAAATAATTTATAAATATTATCTCCCTCAAAGGGATAAAGGCCTGTTGTAATATTGTACCTGCCGGGAGTGGGGGGGGAGGCAGGGAGAGCAGAGAGAGTGGAAAGAAGAAATGATTAGATACATTTAAGAATTCTTCTCTGACCCAAATAGGCTTTTTCAAAGGCAACTGGACTTATTTTGTTTTTTGTTGTTGTTGTTGTTGTCTGCATCTCAAACTGAAGCACGAATGGTTCCTGTAGTCTGCAATTTTTTCTGGAAATCCGTTCATATTCCCGCACCATTCAAACGGTATTCATTCCAAAATACAAAGCTAAATGACTATGGAGATTCTCAGTCATCCAGGCCATGGTTGTCCCAAAGGTGACTTTTTCAAGAGGCCACTGGACTTTTTTTCTCTCCCTGAAGATGTTTCACTTCTCATCCAAGAAGCTTCTTCAGTTCTGAAGCAAAATGTGTTTAAGAAAAAAAAAAAGTCCAGGTGTCTTTTGAAAAAGCAACTTTGGGACAACCATAACCTGGATGACTGAGAATCTCCATAGACAACCCCTCTCTGAGGGAGATGGGTGTTTAAGAAATATGAATGAATGAATGAATGAATGAAGAAAGGAAAGGAAAGGAAAGGAAAGGAAAGGAAAGGAAAGGAAAGGAAAGGAAAGGAAGGAAGGAAGGAAGGAAGGAAGGAAGGAAGGAAGGAAGGAAGAAAGAAAGAAAGAAAGAAAGAGAGAGAGAGAGAGAGAGAGAGAGAGAGTTGGAGATCAACCATCCCAGTCCAGAGGAGAGTTAAGCAGGGAATTAGCCTGGACTCCCTACATAAACATAAGAGGCCAAGGTCTGACCAATATCCGAGTGCCTTAGTGTCCTATTGAGTCTTTCCCAGGCAAATGCTGCCAAGCTGGGGAGATTCCTGTATTATAGGCAGAGAACAACAAAGTAGCTAGTTTGAACTCTGCATGTATGGGTCTAGTTCCGTGATGGCGAACCTATGGCACGTGCGCCACAGGTGGCACGCGGAGCCATATTAGTGGACATGCCAGCTCAGCTCTGGGGCGCATGTGCACACCGGCCAGCTGATTTTCGGGCTTTCTGGGCCCACCAGAAGTAGGGAAACAGGCTGTTTCCTGCCTCTGGGAGGGCCGGGGGGGGTGGGTGGGGAAGGCCCGTTTTTCTTTCTTACCTGGCTCCAGATCCTCTCTATGCATCTGGGAGGGCAAAAACAGCCTTTCCCACTCCCTTGGAGGCCCTACGGAGGCTGAAAGGGCCCATTTCCCGACTCCCGGTGGGACTGGAAGTGAGGTTTTTTTCCTGTCCCCAGCCTCCAGAGACTCCTAGAGAGGCTCCTAGAGACTCCTAGAGAGGCTCCTAGAGACTCCTAGAGAGGTTCTGGAGGCTGGGGACAGCAAAAAATGTCACTTCCTGTCCCACCGAGAGTTGGGAAATGGGCCCTTTCAGCCTCCATAGGGCCTCCAAGGGAGTGGGAAAGGCTGTTTTCGCCCTTCCCAGATGCATAGAGAGGATCTGGAACCAGGTAAGAAAGAAAAACGGGCCTATCAGGCCATCATGTGCCAGGAGCGGGGGTGGATGGGGTTGCATGCGCATGTGCGTGGGCACGTGCGCGTGTGACCCTCCCCCGCCCCTCTCCTGGCACGCGATGGCAAAAAGGTTAGCTATCGGTGGTCTAGTTGTTCCCGCCTACAGGTGGCTATCCTACTCGTTTGAAGATTGCAAATCCTCCTGAATACGAAGAGGATGCAGGCCTAGGAAAAAGTGAAACTGCACCCCTTGCTATAAAAAGCATGGAGCCTGCTATTGATGCCAAACCGATGAAATGTAGACATTGATATTCACAATGCAAGTTCCATTATTTTGCACTTGTACCATGATCTTGCATGCAAGTACCCAAAAGGTGAGATTGCATCACAATGCACGTTTTATCTCTTGCGCCAGCTCTCCTAAACAGGACTCTGCCAGTCTGCTAGTCTGGCAGGCAGCCCTCTTTGATGACCAAATTCACACCTGCAAAAGCCATGGCTCCGCCTTCCCTCAACTGATTATGCCTTACTTGGAACAGGAGGGGAGATGATTGGATAGCTCCAGATATCAATACAAGAGAATATTTATAGCTCAGGGTTGAACCATGGGGTCCTTGGTGCCCTCAGAGCTTGTTTACTTGTGGACATTTCATTACCCAACTAGGTAACATCATCAGTGCTAGTGAGTGTGGCTGAATAGATCAGGGCTGTCAAACTCCCAGCTCGCGGGCCAGATACAGTACGTCACGCACTGGCCATGCCCACGCCCGGTTTAGCAAAGGGGAAAAAAGTCCCTATCAGTGGTGGAATTCAAATTTTTTTTTTACTACCGGTTCTGTGGGCATGGCTTGGTGGGGCATGGTGTGGCTTGGTGGGTATAGCAGGGGAAGGATACTGCAAAATCTCCATTCCCGCCCCACTCCAGGGGAAGGATACTGCAAAATCTCCATTCCCATCCCACTCCAGAGGAAGGATACTTCAAAATCCCCATTACCTCCCCACTCCTGGAGGAAGGGTATTGCAAAATCTCCATTCCCACCCCACTCTGGGGCCAGCCAGAGGTGGTATTTGCTAGTTATCCAAACTACTCAAAATTTCCGCTACCAGTTCTCCAGAACCTGTCAGAACCTGCTGAATAGCATCCCTGGTCCCAATGCATCATGTGACACTGCCGTGACAATGTGAGTTTGATACCCCTGGACTAGATGATGATACCTAGTCAGGTAATGAAACATCTGCAAGAAAACAAACAAGCTCAGAGAGCACCAAGGAACCCAAGGCTCCAGTTATGAGAGATCACCCTCTCGGTACCACCACCTCCATTTTCAATGGGTGGCCAGCAGTTGAATGACTCTTTCTATATTTATTTCTGTAGACAAAAGTTGAGTGGGAGGCAGGCCATACAAGATAGGAAAAGAAGGCCCATCTACATAGTCATGCCCTTAGCATATTGATATGTATTAGAAGGGAGAACAAAGTTTCATACAAATCTGAAATCGATCTACGAATCTCTTCAGAAGGGTGAAGATAAACAGAGTATCGTTCTGGAACACAGGGGATATTCACAAAGGGACTGCCCCTTTAAATTATTACCCCTGGTTAGCGGCTCAAGGAGTCCCAATGGCTGACACCTTCACAACTGTCACAATCATTCTGCTGCTGACATTAAGGGCTTGGGTCCTGCTTGGCATTCCCATTTACTTACAGCGTAACACCTGCTGACCAAATGTCTACTTTGAAGCCAGAAAAGGTATCAAGGCCGTTGGCAATTTCTGGAGGCTGAAAAGCTGGTGACCCCTGGCTGGTTCGGCACATGTCGTCCTCAGCAAATGGATGCAAGGCCTGTGGCAAGCAGATAACAAAAAGGCATTGCTTTGAGGGTGAAGGCAGATGTTTTCAGCAGCAACTGGAAAATTGGGGGCAGCTGTGGGTTATTATTTTTTTTTAAATTATTATTTCAGCAGCAGTCATGACATTGTTCAACTGGGCAATATCAAACTGTTTCAGTTTTTTAAAAAAGAAACATTAAAGGGGAGATTAGCATTTTAAGGGCAGTAAGGCTAACCCAAGAATAAACACATTTTGTTACTGAAAATCAGTGGGAAATCGAACAGCTAGTGTTCTGCAATTGACTACTGTGGTTCCCTTGTTCTATTTAGGGCAGGGTTGTCTTGACCTTGGCAACCTTAAGACGTGTGGACTTCAACTTACAGAGCCTGAGTGCGCAGCAGACTAATGCTACTGTTAAAGGTAGTATTTAGCTTCCAGCTGCCTGCAATTACTGCAAGTTCAATTCTCACCAGGCTCAAGGCTTCAGAAGTTTAAGAATGAACATTGTCAACTGCCCATTTTAAATATTGGTGGTAAACTAACCTTTTTAGCAGCTAGCATGCTCTAAACATGCATGAAATCCAATGGCCACCCCAGTTAGAACTGTGTCGTTCAAAAGAGCCACAATGCGATATTTCCAGGAAACCCATGTGCGTCCTGCACGGGTGGCACAGTGGTTAGAATGCAGTACCTGCAGGCTAAGTCAGCGCTCACTCCCAAGAGTTCAATCCTGACCGGCTCAAGGTTGACTCAGCCTTCCATTCTTCCGAGATCAGTAAAATGAGGACCCCAGATTGTTGGGGGCAATAGGCTGACTCTGTAAACTGCTAAGAAAGGGCTTTAAAGCACTGTGAAGCTGTATATAAATCTAAGTGCAAGTGCTAGCGCTATTACCTGTTCCTGCTATGGCTCCCTAGTAATTCAGAGGCGTTCTGAATTCAGTGGTGGGTTTCAAAAATTTTTTACTACCGATTCTGTGGGCATGGGTGCAGCATGGCTTGGTGGGCGTGGCAGGGGAAGGATACTGTAAAATCTCCATTTCCTCCTGATCAGCTGGTACTCGGGAGGCAGAGAATAGATGGGGGCGGGGCCAGCCAGAGGTGGTATTTGCCGGTTCTCCGAACTACTCAAAATTTCGACTACCGGTTCTCCAGAACTGGTCAGAACTTGCTAAAACCCACCTACGGTTCTGATCCCAGAGGAAGCATTTTAACTTGGATGACCAGTAGCCAAAGATAATTTTGTCCACCATGAATTTGCCCAATCCTGTCTTAAAGCCATTTGTTTCGATTAGCTATAGCAATTCATATCCGACATGGAAGTTCAAAAGCATACCTCTGCCACACCTAGATCTGATATCTTTAGAGTCCCATTGGTTGTTAGCAGGAGATTTCCCGGTTTGATATCTTTGTGTACGATGCCCTGGCTGTGCAGATATTCCAAGCCATCTATAAGTTGGCAAAAGTACCTGCATAAGGTATGAGGGGGAAGCAGAGGGAAAATGAGGTGGGGAAAAAAAATTGAGTTTCTGGAGAGCAAGCACAGTGCAATATCTATGTTATTAAGCAGTTAGGGGTTATCAGCCATGATTCAGTGTCTGATTCTGAACAGGAATCTTACAATGTTTGTGCCATATCAGGAACCTTGAAGTAGAACAGTTACTGAGAATTTATAGAATGATGCTTGCATTATGTCATGAGCTGTCAGTTTGATATAGTGGTTAAGGCACCAGGCTAGAAGGTGGGAGACCATGCATTCAATCCTGCCTAGGTGACTTTGGGCCAATCACCAGGAGACAATGAGTTCTAGTCCCGCCGTAGGCATGAAAGCTGGCTAGGTGACTTTAGGCCACTCACCAGAAAATGGTGAGTTCTAGTCCTTCCTTAGGCATGAAAGCCAACTGGCTGACTTTGGGCCAATCATCAGGAGACGGTAAGTTCTAGTCCCTCCTTAGGCATGAAAGCCAATTGGATGACTTTAGGCCAATCACCAGGACATGGTGAGTTCTAGTCTTCCCTTAGGCATGGAAGTCAACTGGGTGACTTTGGGCCAGTCACTCTCTCCCCAAACTACCTCACAAGGGTTGTTGTTGTGGGGTAAACAGGATGATGAGGCTGTGTTAAAATATGTTCACCATCTTGAGTTTTATATATATACATATATATAAAATTAACAGCAGGATACAAATAAAGCAATAAAATAATCTCAAAGCATCTGATGCAACCACCTCGCCGAAAGCCAAGATGGCCTGGAAACTAAACTGGCTTAGATCCAGCCAATGCTTGAACCCAAGACTGTGTGGGAAGCATGTGGATTTTTCCTTCACTTCAACAAGAGAAGGGGGGAAAAAAAACAGCCTGAACTGCAAGTAATAGTTAAGTTCCCCTTCTTGTGATGATCACAATGAACACAAACCACCAGTCCAGTTTCCCTATTTCAGGGGTCCCCAAACTTGGCGACTTTAAGATTTGTGGACTTCAATTCCATAGCATAGCTGGCTGGGGAATTCTGGGAGTTGAAGTCCACAAGTCTTAAAGTCGCCAAGTTTGGGGATCCCTGCCCCTATTTCCACGGTGAGGCGTCCCTCAGTGAATGGGACTTCTGAGTGACGGGAACTGGGAAGCATGTACGCTACTTACCCGTGCGCTTGAAAGACTGGAAATTTTTTGTCAGGGACGCTGTCCAACATCTCTTGCATGCCGCAGACACAATACTCCATTACCATATACGTGAGAAAGAGTTAAGGAAGTTCCCGGGGTGAGACTTAATAGAGAAAGTTGCCCTCCACTGGTTGACAGTGGAGGGCACTTCACTGTCAACCACTTTAAGTCTACTCTAAACCGATTCCAGCTCAGAGACAGGAGAACCATCTGTCCCAACACCTCCTCCACGGATCCATTTTTAACTGGAGGAGTTGTGATTGACACAAGAGACTTTCTGAATGCAAAGTACTCGACTTTGTAAATGAATTATGGACCTCTCCAAATAGCCCAGCCAAAGGAAGGGAACTACAGTAATCTTGAAAATATGTAAAGATTGCAAAAGAGAAAAAAAAACATGGGGAAGCATGTATGGGAATTATAATCCTAATATATTGGAAGGTACAGTAGCTGGTTAGAGGAAACCAAAGATAAACAGTGCTAAGACTTAACATTATACAGGTAGTCCTTGATTTACAACCATTCATTTAGTGACCATACAAAGCTACAACGGCATTGAAAGAAGTTATTTATGACCATTTTTTCACATTTTTTTTTTAATTTTTGATTTATATGCCGCCCTTCTCCGGAGACTCAGGGCGGCTTACAATGCGTTAAGCAATAGCCTTCATCCTTTTGTATATTTATACAAAGTCAGCTTATTGCCCCCACAACTGGGTCCTCAATTTATGTACCTTAGAAAGGATGGAAGGCTGAGTCAACCTTGAGCCTTGGTGAGATTCAAACCTGCAGTAATTGCAGGCAGCTGGTCTTAATAACCAGCTTAATAACAGGGTGCCTTAGACCACTGTACTACCAAGGCTCTTTACATTTAATAACTGTTGCAGGATCCCCATGGTCACGTGATCAAAATTTGGGTGCTTGGCAACTGATTCGTATTTATGACGGGTGTAATGTGATGCGATCACTTTTTGAGACCTTCTGACAGTCAAAGTCAATGGGGAAGTCAGATTCACTTAACAACCGGGTTACTAACTGAACAACTGCAGTGATTCACTTAACCGCTGGGGCAAGAAAGGTCGTAAAATGGGGGCAAAACTCACTTAACAACTTAGCAACAGAAACTTTTAAGCTCAATCGTGGCCGTAAATTGAGGCCTGCCTTTAATTATAATTTGTTCTGGGCTTTAAAAGGTGGTACAAGGAACAGACTTTCTTTATTTCTTTATCCATTATTAAGAGACAAAGCATTTTAAGGTCTCTACTGGGGCCGGGGAATGTCATGCTATCAGCGAATTAGAGGTTATACCCCAGCGGTGGGATTCACTTACCTTCCCTACCGGTTCGCAAATGTGAGCATGTACGCATCTGCGCATGCGCACGGCCTTCTGCGCATGCGCAGTGCTTGCACATTACGTCCGGGCGGGTGGAGCCTCCCACAGTCGCCGCTACCGGTTCACCCAATCTGGAGAGAACCGGCTGAATCCCACCACTGTTATACCCTCTCCTCATTTAGCAATCATGTCCCATTCCATGATTTGATGGTCAAGTGCTGCTAATGAAGGCACAACACAGAGACAGAGATGCCTGGAAGATTAACTGGTCACTCTCTCTTATTTTGCACAGTGTCCTGGGCCTGACCCGTTATTTTCCCTTTATTTGACCCCTCACAGGATAGAGAGACTGCTTAAACAAGCTGCCTCTCCCTGAGCTGATTTTCTTCACAGCACAAGGCTTCCCCTAAAGCAGAATGGGACAACTTGCTACGGCCAGCTTGCTGCGGCCAATTCGCCACTGCCAATTTCCAATGGTCGGTCAACTCGCTGCGGGACAACTCAACATGGGCAACTTATCGTTCAACTCATTGAATTCAACAATTCAATGTCATTATTTAAAATAATTTTTAAAATATGTTTATTTTAGTCATTCCCTTTTCATTTTGTCCCTCCTTCGGCATCCTTTCTTTAATGATTCTATTCCACTATTTCTTCGATATTAGTGTGATGCTTGTCCCGCAGCAAATTCTCCTATGTTGAGTTGGTCCTGGCGAGTTGCCCCGCAGTGAGTTAGATGTGTCGAATTGTCCACAGCAAGTTAGCTGCGACAAGTTGGCCGCAGTGAGTTGGCGATGGCGAGCTGGCCGTGGCAAATTGTGGTAGTTTAGAAACTCAGCTCTGTGACTTTAATTAGTCAATTTGAACCCTCCTACCCTGATCAGATCTCAATTTTTTTTTCCCACATTGAAGGCTTTTGCTGTCAGGCACATGAAATTTGGTTGCAAATGTGAGGACAGGTAGGAAAATGATTTTTTTTTAAATTCCACTTTATTACCGTCATATTAGCCACATCTGCAGCTGTTCGCAGCATCCTGCAGTCATGTGACCGCATTTTGCTCTAGTTTCTCTGAAAACCAAAAGTTACTTCCGCTGTGGAGTTGAAGTCCACACAAAGTTGCCAAGGTTGGGAAACATGGCCTTAGAAGGGCTCTGCTGTGTTTTTTAGATTTGGAGAAGAAGGACCATCATCTGCTTTGTATGCAGAAGGTGGAGATTTGGCCCTGGACATCTGCCAGGATCTTAGATAGCAGAGATGGAGAGAATCCCTGCCGTCACTCATAAACAACACTGAGTGACGGACGTCTGTCTGCATAGAAGGCATCTAACTGTGGAAAGATGAAAACATCATTAGAAACCAGAGAGGGGCATATGGAAGTAAGGAAGACAAAAAACCAGGGAATCCAGAATTCAACAGGGAGCCCAAAGGAAGGATATATTTTTTGCTTCTCTTCATTGTACAACACGTCAACTAGCTGGATCACATTTTTGTGCCGCAACCGCCGTAGGAGTTGTATTTCCCTGGAAGGGGGGGAAAAAAAGAGAGGAAAATGTATTGGTGAAGAGACGAGCCCAGCCGAAAAAATACAGTAAACTTCTTGCTCTATGAATGAATTTGTTATGTTTTGAATTGCTTATTGTACAAAGAAACATATATAGGTAATCCTCGATTTACAACCATTCGTGTAATGACTGTTCAAAGTCACTAAACGGAATGGCTCCAACTCGAGGACTACTTGTATATGTTTCTCTGTACGATAAGCATTGAAAAACATGACTTATGACTGGTCCTTGCACTTACAACCAGTCCTTGCACTGATTTACTGTTGCAGCATCCCCATGGTCACGTGATCAAAACTGCACAGAAGTCTGTACAAAATTGTATTCTAGAGCAGGGGTCTCCAACCTTGGCAACTTTAAGACTTGTGGACTTCAACTCCCAGAGTTCCTCAGCCAGCAAAGCTCAGCAAAGTCCACAAGTCTTAAAGTTGCCAAGGTTGGAGACCCCTGCTCTAGAGAAACATATATAGGTATCCCTCAACTTAGAACCATTCATTTGGTGACCATTCAAAGTTAAAACAGAACTGAAAAAAGTGACTTATGACTGGTTCTCACATTTATGACTGTTTCAGCATCCTCATGGCCATACTTTGCCTCCCAGGACGTGGAAAACCTGGATCTCCTTCCAGGCAATTCCACCAGAATTAATGCTGCGGGACTGACTGCCAATGCAAATGACCGCAGCCAGTTGCATTTATTTGAACACCATCATAACGATGATCCTTCAGATAAACCTACAGGTAGTCCTCAACTTACAGCCAGCCATTTAGTGATCGTGCAAAGTTACAACGGCACTGAAAAAAATGATTCATGACCTGTTTTTCACATTTCCAACCATGGCCCATGGTCACATGATAAAAATTCAGGTGTTGGGCAACCAGCTTGTATTTATGACAGTTGCAGCATCCCGAAGTCATGTGATGGCCATTCCCAGTCAGCTCCTGACGAGCAAAGTCAATGGACTGGATTTCCTTAATGACCACACCACTCATTTAACAAGTGCAGTAATTCACTTAACAAACCGTGCCAAAAAGGTTGTAAAATTAGATGTGCCGGACTTAATAACCGCCTTGATTAGCAACAGAAATTCTGGCCTCAGTTGTGGTCATAAATCAAGGACTACCTGCAGTTTGCCATGGTTTTGCTGTTGGAACACCGACGTGCTGTCTGCCTATCAAATACCGACCTCAAAGACCATGCAGCCAGTAATGCACTCCTTACCCTCCGAATTCCTCCCCAGAGCAAACAGTTTCAACACACATTTTTCTTTCATAGCCAATTTTATAGACACAAAAAAACAAACAAACAAAAAAAAAAAGATGGAAAAATGTGGGATGATCATAAGCACCATCCCACAGCATACTCCATGAGTGGGGAAGAATGCCGCAGAAAAGGAGCCTCACTTAAAAACACCCATAATTATTGGCTGTCTGACTGCAGCCACAGGTTCCAAGATACTGTGCAGATCGTAACTCTTGCTTTTAATACCATTATACAGTCATTATCAAGACAGAGGAAAGGATCTAATCTCTTGGCCCCGAAGCCATCTGTTTATGGACAACTCCAGCAACAGGAATGTCATCAGCCAGAGGTGCTTTTTCTAAAAGGCCACTGGACTTTCTTGATTTATTTATTTATTTTTAACATTTTGCTTCTCATCCAAGAAGCAAAACATTTAAAAGAAGTTTTCAAAGTGAAACTTTTTAAAAAACAAGGAAGTCCACTTGCCTTTTGGGACAATCATGAGCTGGATGATTGAAACTCTCCATAGACATCAGCAGCCATATTTAGTCCAGATATGAGCAAAAGTCTTTCCTGGACCTGGACTGAAGAAATCTAGATTTTCACATATTTAATCCAACAGGAAGTTTGTTGAGTGACTTTGTCTGTGTGTTTGTCATATGTATCTAATCTCACTTAATAGGCAGAAAATGTTTTACAATGCAGGAGGCAGAGAGCTGTGTATGAATTTACTCTCATACCATAAATAGTTTAGAAGCAGCAAACTACATACAATTGGCTAATTCTATTTTAGCTGGTTGATTACTCATTCTCTTTTCTGACTCTGTCACTTCAGTCTTCCAGTTGGCCCTGGCGGAGTCCCCGAATTCTAATCCAGCAGAGTTGTGTGAGGCAATCACACGTTCAAATATTTGAATGGCCAGATTAAGCATGGCTGAAGAAACCCTTTCAGATTTGAGCCCCATGGCTTATCCACGGGGTTCAATGGAACAGGCGTTTGGCAAACTGCAGAGTTTCAGCCGAGTTGATCCTTACTTGGGCGTTATGAAGGTAACACAACCTCATTCACAAAGTAACAGAGTCAGAAGAGGCTCTTTAGGTCACAGAGACTAACCCCCTCCTCTGTGCAGAAATCCTAGTGTCTAGCCTTTGCTAGGGCTAATCCAATGAAGGAGACGTCTTAATTGTTGGTTTCACTGCTGAACTGCTCTTATTGTAGGAACTTTTTTCCCCTCAGAAGTCTCCCTTAAGAGATAGCTTAAATCTATTATTTTGGGCCCTCCACTCTGTAACAATGGAGGTTTTCACTTTCTTCTATATGACATCCTTTCAGATACTGTTATACAGGTAGTCCTCAATTTACAACCACAATTGAGTCCAAAATTTCTGTTGCTAAGCAAAACAGTTGTTAAGTGAGTATTGCCCCATTTTGCGACCTTTCTTGCCACAGCAAGTTAAGTGAATCCCTGCAGTTGTTTAAATTAGTAACATGATTGTTAAGTGTATCTGGTTTCTCCCATTGACTTTGCTGGTCAGATGGTGGCAAAAGGGAACAATTGCAACCGTCGTAAGTATGAATCAGTTGCCAAGCGTCTGAATTTTGATCATGTCATCATGGAGATGCTGCAATGGTCGTAAGTGTGAAAAACGGTCAAGTCACTTTTTTTTCAGTGCGATTGTAACTTTGAATGGTCACTGTTGTAAGTCGAGGATTATCTGTATTATACTTCAAAGACTATTATATCTTTTCCTCCCAGTCTTCACTTCTCAAGGTTAAGCATTCCCAATTCCTGCAATCTTTTTTTTTTACTTCTTCCTTCTCCTTCTTACTCCAAAACTGTTCTAATTCCTCTCATCCATCCATTCACCCATCCATCTATCCATTTATAGAATCTATATGCCTGCCTCACTCATATAATGATCCTAGGAGGTGCGGAAGAATCAATAAAAACAGACATAAAAACAAAAACGCTCTTCCCACCAATACCAAGTTTTGGCCTCAGATTGACTGGTCTGTAGTTTGCTGGAAGGTCCTTTTTCAAAGAGCAGGGACAACATCTGCTTTCCACCAGCCATCTAGCACTTCATCAGTTCTCCAGGACTTCTCAGAGACATAAAGATTTCGCCAGGCCAACTCGTTCACTCGTTACCCTGGCATGGAATTCATCCAGCCTTGGAGATTTAAATTCATTTCTTGATCCCATTTCTATTGGTCTCAACCCTCACTTTTCTCGATTATCTTGTTAGCGTTTCACCATTTTCACTGAGAAGCTGCTGCTGCTATTATTATTATTATTATTATTATTATTATTATTATTATTATTATTATTATTATTTCAAACATATCTAACTGAGCCTTTTTGTTGTTGTTGGCATCGCTTGCTACCTCAGTACATTCCAAAATTGCTGTGACAGTCTGCATTCAGCCATGGCTTCTGCTGACTGTCCATGCAGACTCCCAAATAAATGGTTTGGGTTAGATAACTGATAAAAGAAGCTGAGAATAGGAATTATTTTAGTTTCTTTTAAGAAAATGCTTCATCGATGGTGGAGGTGAGAGACTGGCATTGGGGTAGAATCTTAACATTGCCTGAAGCAAGTCTGGTTTGAAGTAGGAACATTTTGATGGATGAGGTACAATGGCTTTCAAAACCTCAGGCGGATCTAAATAATGGTGGCTACTGAAAAACTATCGTTTTAGTAAAGGTAATGGTGACTGATGGACCTAAATTGAATTATTTTTTATTTACTTTAAAAGATGTGCATGGCTGCCCATCTTAAAACAACTCTGGGCAGCTCGCAGCAATAAAACTAAAAAACAAAACAAAACAATTAGTTGTATACTGCTGAAGCTTTAGTGTGGGTTCAAAACAGGCCTGGAAAAATTATTTGCTAAAGGGACATGTTTAGAGGGAAATCCAGAGGCAGATTCCCTAAAAACCAGATGAACTGTGGAACAAGACCCTATCTATCTATCTATCTATCTATCTATCTATCTATCTATCTATCTATCTATCTATCATCTATCTATCTATCTACCTACCTACCTACCTACCTCTCTCTCTCCCTATTTACCTATCTCTCTGTCTATCGTATGGCATATCATACATTGGCTAGCAATATATATATTAACATTTCATTTAGATTAGTAGAACACAATAAAATATAAATGTTAAAAAAGACCTGTGTTTAAATACCAATGTCTAGGCCATCTAACCATTGAAGCACATCATTATTTATATTTTAAAAAATCAGATACTGGACCGGTATATGCCCTCAGCCTTCAGCTGGTCACAATGTGATATACAGTTTGATGTGGGACCCCACAGTCACATTGAGGTGAAGATACTATGCCCCATTTATATACAAAGTCCTGGTAGACACCATGTGAGGTGCAAGTCCTATTCAGCATTGTTCATTGCTGACGTGACAAGATTCTGGCTCTTCTCTGTGACAGACACTCAAATATAGAAGGATTATCATGTCATCCCTAGTCCTTCCCTTCATTAGACTTGACATGGCTAGCTCCCTTAGTTGTTCATCGTAAGGTTTAACTCCAGACCTCTGATCATCTCTGTTGCTCTTCTCTGCAATCTTTCTATGGTCTCAACAACTTTTTTGTATTGTGTGGCCAAACTGGATGCAGTTTTTCCAAATGTGGTCTTACCAGTGCAGTATAAAGCGGCACTCACACTTCACATGATCTTGATACTATCCCT